GCGTCAACCGGATAACACAAATTTATATCGCTGTGAAAAAAATGTATCCTTGGCTTACAGAGTAATTTACAGAGCATCCGTCATTCAAATTTACTTAGCCTATTGCAGTAGACAGTTATCGAAAGCGCCTATTACAGCTGTCGCTGTCAAGAGAGATCAGACGAAGTTGCCGTCTGGCAAAAAGCCAGTAACTCTGATGCTGCAACCTTTTGGGCAGAAAAGCACTGAAAAACTGACCGTAGAGCAATCAAATAAACAACGCATATACAGCACTGATCCACAACGGGTTCTTGTTTGATCCTTACCGACAGCATGGTTCAGCTAAAAAGCTGACTGCGTTGGCAATTCCGCTAAGAAAATCAGCATAGATTAATTCTGCTCAGCGACATATTTTACATCACATATAGTCTTTTCTTAAGTATATCTGTTGAATTTAAATTTTACTGAAGCCTCAAGAAACACTTCAAATTTTCGCTTTTAGTTTTTTTTCTTTCTTCAAAATTTTTTTTTTTGTTAAAAAGTATTTTCATGGTTTTTCTTATCCAATTTTTCAGGAGTATTGCTTTAAAGAAGCTGTGTTAACTAATCGTTCTATTGCTATAGAATTTGTCACTTTTTTTTCTGCTTTTAACAAATGTCGTTGAAAAATTTTAACAGGATTACATACAGCTTTTATTATAACTTGTTATATACAAATCGAATTGTTGAAATAAATCGATGATTATACACTGCTTTATTAATGTGTTTTTGTTTGTTCTGTTATGTTAGTACTTGAGTTTAAAATTGATTTTTATTTATAGGTCTACTGAAGTAAAGCAGTTTCATGACATAATCAGCGGAATTCATGGAAATTTGGAGCATCTTATCGTTTCGGTGGAGCGGTTATCATCATTTTCGCTGAATGGCTAACACCAATTCTGAAGCTGGGCAATTTATTTATCAGGTTATACTTACGACTATTATTTTTCTCCAAATTAAGGCTCTCGGGTTGTATAAAGAAATGGGCTACCTCTTTGTCTGCAAGCAAGATTTACCTGATGTACTGTTTTCTTTACAGATCTATTTTGAAGGGTTTTATTGTCTTCTCGAAACCTTTTTCTTTATTTGGGTTTCTTGTAAAAATCATTTTAGATTTAGTTCGCTAATGAGGTCTTGCTGTCGTGTCTATATGTATCTTCTGCTAAATTTGCTCAATTCACAAATTACTGTTTTTTAGTTGTTCAAGTGGAGTGTTAATTTTCTATTTCTCTGTTTATTTCTTAGCAGAGCCTTTTTTTTGGAGATAGAATGATTGTTGCACAAAGCACGTACAGTTTTTCGATGGAACATATGACGTGACTTTAGTGTACTCGTTCAAGCCTAGCTAGGGGGTGTGTTTCCGCAGCAGAGTTAAAGTTGTAATGCCTTTTTTCGGAGTGGTAGACGTATTTTATTTTTGATACTTTAGTATAATTGTAGACTGGGTACGCGAAAAAGGTACTGAGGTAACCCTCATTTTTTTTTTTTGAATTCAATTGTTCCTGAGTAGTGTTTTTTTCATTTTATAGTTGAGTTTGAACGGAACGGTATTTTAACGGATGCTTCTAACTCTATTAATTATTCCGCAATTAATCCTAAACTATATTGCAGTCATCTATTTATTGCGATGTAATGTCTCAAGTTTGCCGGTTAGAAATGGTGATGCATCGGAACATTTTAATTTTGGATGAAAACGATTAAATTTATTATTTTTTTAGTTTAGTTGCTTTTTATAGTCAGTGAAGAAAATTCTGAGTAAATACTTTTTGAAGGCAGTTCAGTTCGATAACTCGGATCTGTTAGATGAACTTTTGACTGCATATCCAGAAAACACTTCGTTCAAGGACTCGCACGGAAGAACGCCATTGCATATTGCAGTTCAACGAGGAAATTCGACGATTGTTGATTTACTCGTGAAAGCTGGAGGTTTGGAGTCTTGTAATTGTTAATTTTAATAGATGGTGCAAAGAAGAAATTTTCTTGCTCATTACTGCATAGTTCTGAAAGTGAATCCTAGTGCAGTTCTCTACATGAAGCGCATAGTTATAAAATTAATTTTATAACACTTAATTTTGATGTTTTAGCCAATGTGAACGAGGCTGCCGGGCCAAGCATTCTTTGTGCAACACCTTTACATATCGCTGCAGCAGAAGGGAAACACGAAATTGTAAAGCGCTTAATCGATGAAGGAGCGGATTTATTTGCAACTGATCTGCGGGAACACTGCGCACTGGAACTTGCTCAAATGAATAATAAAACAACAGCAGCTCGTGTTCTCTTGGATGCTATTGGTACTAGTTTGTGCATTTTTTAGGTATAAACAGGTATTCTTAAAAAATTACAAGGAAAATCTCTTTGTATTCAAGAAATGGAACGTACAAGGACGGCTTATCTTCATGAACGTTTGATCAGCTCTTGTATCGAAGGAAATGCAGTGGCCGTTGAAAAAATACTTCTTCAATTAAATAGTGTTAATCGAGATGCTATCCTCAACGGTCCCTCTTTAGACAATAACTCAGCCTTGTACATGTAATAAATAATTTTTTCCAGATTATTAAAGTATTTTAAGGCAATTTATATGTTTAATCGAAAATTAAACATTTTTCTAGACATGAAACGTACTCTTTAATACTCTACTCTCTCTGTGTTATCATTTTGAGAATATTTGGTTTTATTTGTCTTCAACAGGGTTGAGTTTTATTGCATCATTAATTGAATTGGCTGATTAATTTATTATTATTAGCTACGACTTAGAGCTAGTTTTTACTTGTTATTTAAAAAACTTCAGTGCATGTTTACATGGGCGGTACGAAGTTGTTAAGAAATTGTTAGATGAACGAGGTCATATGCTAATACAACCGGAAACAAGTGACACTGTTTTACATGCTGCTGTGTCTTCTCAGGAGCCTCTCCTCGTTGAGCTAATATTGAAAGTTAATTTTCATTCCGTTGTTGTAAGTTGAAAAAGAGCCTTTTAAGGCGAATTGATAAAGTACCATTTTTTTAACTTAAATGGCTCTTTGTATTAGATAGGTTACACAGTTTATGTTTAAAAGTGGATAATTACTCATAAACCTTTTTTTGTTCTCAGGAGTTTACTCATCTCATCGGCTCAAGGAATGCGGATGGTAGTACAGTCTTGCACTGGGCCGCTCAGTGTGGAAATATCCAAGTTGTCAAAATGTAATTATAGCTTTAATCTCCTTTTCTATCAGAAAAACATTGTTTGATTTTGCAGGCTAATGGAGTTTCCATACGATGAAAGCTTGTATCGGAGAATCGAAGAGCCATCGGGACGATTTTCCTACAGTTTTGTAGTAGATGTTAATGCTTTGGACTCGAACTGTAGGACTGCCCTTTATCTTGCCGTTGCTAGCTCGCATATTGACGTAGTTCAATATTTTTTAGAAGTGCGTCTCCTGAAGTGTTAATGTTTTGAATTTTTAGATCTTCAAAGATTTACAAAATTCTCGCCCAGTTTTATGGCATTTTCTTGCTCAAAATTAATGGTAGTAATAAATGCCCAGAAATAATTAAAATTATATTGTAGTTGAAATTTACCATTGGAACATCAGAAAAGAAGTGCCCATTCGTAATAGATGTTTACTGCAGCGGCGGTAGAACACCCCTTATGGTAGCTGCAGCAAATGCGAACATCGCCCTTGTTATGTACAGTTGTTTTTATATCACTGCTTTTGCGGTTGCCTGTGAATGTCTTTTAAATGCATGATTTTTACAGTTTTATTATGCTTCGACGTCTCAAGTTATCTTTTCCTTTTTTTTTTCTTTTTGAAGTTTTCTGATAGAACTTCGAAGATTTTCGTGCGAAAAGCACTGCTTTTCGCAGCTTCCACGAGTACCATTAAAGGTTGCTTCTGGAATATGGTGCCGACATCAACCTTCCATGTGGCTTAACCGACGCAGACGTTACTAGTGTGGAAGGGGCCCGTTGCATTGGCTCGGGAGCACTAAATGAAGCCTGTAAAGCGAATTGCATTCCTTTGGTCCAGCTTTTGCTTCAGAGAAACGCTGTAGATCAAGAAAACGTTGCTTTAGCTATTGCAAGTGATGTAAGTTTTATTTGCTGGCAAAGTCTTCATGTAAAATTTAAGGAGAAAGGTTTTTCTTCGTTTGTTACAGAATCATCATGACTCTCTCGTGAGGCTTTTTCTTTCGCGCCTCGTATTTGTCGATCCAGATTATCGTGTTAGCAAGAGAAACATTGATGTTGGTCAAATAAGCTTTAACAGAAGTGTCCTTCCGTCGACCCTGTTCCCGAATACCGCATGTATGATTAATTGGCACGGTGCAAATCTTGCTACAATATCTCAGGAATGGCTTCTTTCTGGTTGCCTTCAGTTAAATCAGAGATTAAGAACATCTCGGTAGCTTTATTTTTTGAAGTTTTGGGTTTTTTTGCACGTTGTTTAACTATCTCGCAAGCGTGGTTTCAGTACAACATTTCAACTGTTTCTATTTAAATTTTTCTAAAAAACTTAAAATTTTCTTTTATAAAGTTAATATGCATTTACCTCGTTCACTTACTTGTATTCGATATTTTTTTGTTAATTACCTTGATTTTAGAATGGCATTAGCTGCTTTAACTCGAATAGACATCTCGTGCAACCGTCTTACTGTACTCAATGGGTTTTTACTGCAGCTGACCTCATTAAGAACACTGAATGCAGCAAATAATCTTATCACTGAAATCGAGTTACCTTCTGGAGGGTGGAACGCTCCACTGCTGGAAACTTTGTTACTGGAACATAACTTACTCATTTTTCTTCCTCCTCAGGTAATTTTTTAAGCATCAGTTTTTTATTATGGTAGCAAATATATCGCATATTTTCTGCTTACGAAGTGAAGTCTAAATTTTCTGAATTTGAGTTTGTATGTTACTTTGTAAATTATTGTCAGTTTTCGTAATAAGTCTGTTCGTTTTCTCTTTTTTTTTCCTTTCAAATTAAATGTAGTTTCTTTAAAAGTCTTTGTTGCTACAATAGCAATGATTTGGATTCAACTTCCGATTTATACCGGTTTAGCTTTGGTTGTTTTCAGATTTTCTCTGTATGTTTTCCATGTTTGTCGTGTCTTGACGTATCATATAACAAACTCGCTTCTTTACCCGACACCCTTTGGGCTGCTCCGCACCTGAAAGAGTTCAATGCATCAAATAACTTATTGAAAGTTATTCCTACAGTTACAAATGTTAGTAACCTCTCACCGTCTCACTCTAGTGATGGTAAAGAAAATTTACCACAAGATGCGTGTAGTCTTAAAAGCACAATTTCCACGGAAGATGCTTCTAGCAGTGGCGCCCGTAACGACGAAGTAAATGTAACTGTCCATGAGCTCAGGAGGTTTTAAATCTTTGTTCTGTTGTAGAGAACTGATTTTTGTTTTACAGTATTGTTTTATAAATAATAAACGCTTTTTTACAAGTTAGTATTGATTGAATGGAGGAGAGATTAAGTTTTTTATTTACTTAGCGTTTAGTAAGCTAGTCATATTTTATAGGTATAATTTTTGGCAGTCCACGGTGCACCTTGTGAGATCTGAGGACTCAGATTCTGAAAACGGTTTGACGACGAGCTTTTCAGCCCTAAATTCTTTGAATCTTTCTCATAATGAGGTAATTTTAATTCTTTTTTTTTTTTTATTTTTAGTGTTTTATAGCTGTAGTGCCGCTTCTGTACAGCATATCTTCGCTGACTTTGCAAGTTAAGTGTTCTGCCATTATATACTTTTCTTTACTTTTAGATAAAAGTTTTCCCAACCGGTCTTGCCTGCTGCTGTCCTCGTTTAACACGCTTAAACTTGTCACACAACGAACTCGTTTCTGTAGGCCCAGTAGAATGTTTACCAGCCAAAATTCGGCATTTAGACCTTTCTAGTAACAGGCTTGCTCTTCTTTTTGAACGTCCAGACCCGGTGCAGTTGGTGTGTCACGCCACAACGACTTTTTCGAATAGAATTTCAAGGAATGAAAGAATCAGTCCTTCAAGGCAGTCGAGTTAGTCACAGTTATTTAGACTGGATCGGTGATTTGTGGAGTAGTGTAATTTTTCCGTATTTTATGTTCTTGTGATTCTAAACTTAATCTTGATCGAAGAGTTTGTTTTGAACGCTTTTCCATTTTTATTCCAACAGGTCTAAATAATGAGTTGCAGGAAATCGGTCAAAGTCTGCAGTTAGAAGTCAAAGGTCGCTTAGTGTTGCTCGAGTTGGCGATTCACTTCATGACATTCACTTAAATGCATGTGTACACAAAAAACATACCCGTTTGGAATCGCTTCGTACATTGATTCTAAACGGAAATCGTTTGCGAGAGATTCCTCTGAGACTGTCGGATGCATCGGTGCCACTGAAGAAAAAAATGGTTGATGTGAAAAGGAAGGAAAATGTCTGTGAAATTCCTTGATAAAAAACTCCTCAGTTAACAAATTCTCAATGCTGTTTGTAAAAAATCCAATTCGGTTTTTTTTACAGGTGCGAGATAAGATTTTATTTCCTCTTTTAACGTCTTTGGATGTTAGCAATAATTGTATCAAATGGGTCCCTCCTCTGATATCTTCGCTGTCGTCGCTTTCAGTTCTCAATCTTTCTGGCAATGCAGCTATTGAGAACCTGCCTTCAGAGTTGGGACTTTTAGGTTAGTGTTAGATAACATTTTTTGACGCTAATCTAGTGAATAGTTTAGTTTGAATTTGGCTATTTAATTTTTTAACGTTACATATTTTATTTTAAAACGAAGGTGGTGTTCAGAAATATAGTATGTTAGTTTTGAACTTTTGAAAACTGTCAATTTTGAAATTAATTGTACTTTTATGTCCTTTTTTATTTTTGGGTTGCAGAATTTTTTTTCGTTGGACATTTTTTTTTTGCGAAGTTTGAGACTGATATCACTTTTTATGCATTTACAGGTAAACTATGGAATTTAAACTTGAACGGGTGCTCTATGAAAGATCCAATACGTTCGTTGATTCAAGCCAAAAACTTTAAGACAGTGGATTTGATCGCTTACTTGAAATCTATCTTAGAAGAGTAAGTGCTTAGTCAACAAATCCAGATTTTTACATTTTAGCAACTCCAGTTGTAACAGTCTTTATTCATTGTTTTTTCATTCTTTTTCGTGTGCTTTGAATACCTGCTGTCCAGTTTGCTGATGAGAAACTAATAAATTTCATCTTCTTACTACTTTTTCTAGATTTATTTTTTAAGAAGCGTTTTTTTCAATGCGTAATTGCTCTTTGAAGACTGATTAAAATCAGTGATGTTGGAACTGCTGATATTTACTGTTATGAATAGTTTTGGAACTTTTAGTTCACGACCTTATACTCAGCTAAAACTCATGATCGTTGGTGTTCAAGGCATTGGCAAAACCTCTTTGCTGCAGCAGATTCGTCTGGAGGGTACGGTAGGGAAAAGAGGACTTTCAGCAGATGTCTGTTTTTGTTTTTACTTGTAGTTTTTACTATTTGTCAACTTCTACGATTATTTTCTGCAACTAGAAGGGTAATTTGGTAATGATAATTATAATAATAGCAACAGTACCTTGTGTGTAACTATAGAGTTGGTCTCAGAGGATGGGCCATACTTCAACAGCCCCAGATCGAACTTCAAAAGGTGTCAACATGTCTACTGTTGGAGTTGATATTGCGGAATGGACATTTGAACCGAAAAAAACGAAAGGTTTAAAAAGTTTTTTGAGACAATTTGAGGATTATTCTGATCTTATACGTTTTCTCTTAGGTGAAACTTCGCATGGCGCTATTACTTTTCGGACTTGGGACTTCGGGGGTCAACGTGAATACTACGCTACTCACCAGTATTTCCTCTCGCGCCGTTCACTTTACCTCGTTGTTTGGCGTGTTACGGATGGTGAAGCTGCAATATCTGATGTACACCAATGGCTTATTAACATTCAGGTAAAGGTTATCGTTCAGATTATGTAAACAAATCATTAATAACGCCATTGTAATAGTTTAAAACAACTTCTTCTTTACATGAGCCAATTTTCAAGGCTCGCGCTCCGAATTCTCCCGTCATTGTAGTGGGGACACATGTTGATCAGGTCCTTGCTAACGTGGCTCGTTTCCCCACTAACTATCTCTCTTCTCTTGACAGTCTCATACGCGGTGAGTGGATTAACGGTTGCTAGCAGTATTGGTATAGTTCTTACACTGCCTTGGTAGAGATAACTTTTAAATTTCTTTTTTTCTACATTGACTCTTACTTTATTCATGGAAGTGTCTAACCCTACCTTCTCTTTCCAGACCGTTTTGTTATGGCTGCAGATGCGGATAAAAAGGGTTTGCCGAAAGTTGTCGAATGTATTTTCGTCTCTTCAAAAACTAAGTACAATATTCGCGCATTATGCAATCTGTTATACAGAACCGCATTTGATATTCGAACAGTCGGTGGTAAGGAAAGACTGTTAGAACAGAAGGTGCCAGCGTCTTATTTGGCTTTTGAAAAGGTAAAAAAACGTAATTTAACAAAAGTTAAGCGTCATTTCTTAGCTGAGCTTCATAAATTGTTGAAGATTGTGGTTGGGTTGAGTGACGAGAAGAGATTAGCTAATGTAGAACCTGTTATGAAAGGTAACGAGTTTCGAGCAATCGTGCAAGAAAGAATGCGTAAAAGTTATGGACGAGCTTTTCGGGACGAAGTTGAATTTAATCACGCTTGTACTTTTTTACATGAAAATGGCAAGTATATTCAAAAACGCTGCTTTTTTCTGTACTTTAATCTCCTGTTTAATGGTTTCAGTCAACTTCTGATTGTCAGAATTTTCAGGTGTTTTGCTTCACTATGAGGATGCCACCTTACGTGAATTATATTTTTTAAATCCACAGTGGTTGTGCGATATACTAGCTCACGTTATCACTATTCGCGAAATCAATCCTTTTGCTCGTAATGGTTTGATGAAAATAGATGATTTGCAAATATTGTTCAAATCTCTCAGACTAGGAAAGTCAGCTGTGAACATAAAGTAAATCAGTCGTTTAAAATCACACTTGACTCTTCATTAATACACGAGCCTTTCGCAGTTTACGGATACACATGCTCTTATTGGTTTAGGTCACATATTGTTTCTTTGCTTCATAAGTTTGAAGTTGCTCTCACATGGCAGTCGAGAAGTCTTTTGATACCCTCTTTACTTCCGGACGAATATCAACTAAGAGGAGGTTACCCGGGTTCTCGTGTCGTGGTACGTTAATTATTAATTTCATGCTAAAAAACAAATTCTTTTTATACTTTTACACGTAATTCTTTGAGAATGGAAGAAGTGACTGATAAAAATTATTAAACGTATTGAAATTTGTTAGTATACTGCTTGTTTCTCTCTGGAATTTTGTGTATATGAAGTTTTTTTTATAGAGACTGCTGTTGTTTAAGAAGTTCAGCAGGCAAAAAACATTAATTAGTTGCAGAGAAAAAACAAAACTTGTATTCATTAGGTATCTTACTTTTTCAGTTAACAGCGAAAGTGAATGGTTGGGAACTAGGTAGACATCCAGACAAATATGTATCTGCGATTCCGCCTTGTGGAGTTTTGAGAGTGAAATATCAGAAGGAACAGTATGTTGGCCAAAATAGTGTTGAGAGCCAAATCGATGTTATTAAAAACGACTCAAAAAATGCTGTGTTCTGCCGGGATTCCTCAAAAAAAGTTGCTAGTACAAGTAGTCAAGACGGTGACAATGAGAATCATGAAATTACTTTGTCTAAAATTGAGAAGGTTATTTTTGTCATAATTTTAAAAGGAAACTCGTTATCAATTGATTATTTTTGACTTGAACAGTTCCAATTTTTTGTATTAATTAAACTTGACATATATTGGTTATTTAACTTAACAGTGTATTAGTTTCGTTACAGTTTTCAGGTATTTTTTACCTTCTGTCTTCAGATCTGTAGTTTCTATTAATTTTTTCAGGAGACGTTACGTCGAATATATGCCATGGCTTATATACCATCTGGGTTTTGGTCAAGACTCATGGCTAGGATGCTTAGCGACGATCGCTTGACAGCTTGCATAGAACGTTTATTTTTCTTTTGTGAAGCAACAGAAAGTGATGTAGCTGATGAGGTTAAAAATGTATTGAACAAAGAGTTTCGGCCGGACTGGCTATTGTGGCAGACGGGTTTTGAGGTATTATATTTGTCATACACATTGCCAAAGTTTTTTGGATAAAATAAGGAACTGCAAGATCAAGATATCATTAGCGTTCTTTTGTTTCTTTTGTTTATCAACTTCTAATTTGATTTTTTAGGTAATTATCAACGAACACTCGCTGTTTATGTTACGGCAATATTTGCCTCTTGCTGAGGCGAGGGACGTTTTATATGAATTTGTTGATTGGTGGACTAGGGGTGAAGATTTCAAGTGGCGACCTACCAACCTTCAGAATTCTGCTTTCGTTGAGATAACAATTCCGTCTTACGAGTTCGTTTCGTTAACTTTCTTATATGATTATTTTATAGTAAAATGCATCATTTTTCTTTATTTCGTGTCCTGGTTTAATGCTTTTTAGTTTAACTGTTACTGCGAGAGGTCAAAACTACTGCCTTCAAACAGATCACTCTTATAAAACGCGACTCTTAGCGCTTGTTGTGGATATCATTGACACATTTCTTGAGGACTGGTTCGTTTTTCTTTAGTTTTAGGTCCTTTTAAGGGTTATTCGAGAACTGATGGAAAACCTTATCTTGGCTCTCAGATGTTCTCTGTGTGCTAAAAAGCATATTTGTTTTATTTGCAGAAGATCCTATTTTAGTAGTTCGCTTTTTTCTCATTACTAGTTCAAGAAAATATGAAAATTCATTGTTTAGGTATCCATCTCTGGGAACTCGTTTCATGCACACCTCCGAAGGTCATTTGTTAATAAATCGTTTGGTTCCATGTCCAGATTGCATTAACGCTTCGAGTTGTCGAAAGATGTCGTTGAACGGTAATATTGGTAAAAAGGGTCTTGAGAGGTAAGCTGTTCAAAAGGTCATAACTTACGAGTTTCTTTTCTTTCTCAGAATCAGTTGTCCTCGCAGGTTCAAGATCACTTCAAGTATTCCGCCTCTTGATTTATTGTTTGAAAGGCTAAATGTTAAGAAATGGGTTTTTGCTTGGACATTAACCCAATTAGTCTGAAAAATAGACATTTCATTTTCTTTTGCAACATTTAGCATGCGTTCACGAACAATATCGGATTTTTGCGAAGTCACTGCTGCTCGGTTCCCAATTTACGCTTTTACTATTGAAGAGTGCATTCTCAGCGCTCATGAGAACGCGAATCTACAGTGTCCCGTCCACCAGAAACTGAGCCTTAGTTTATTCGCTCCTGATACCGTTTTTCTAGATATTAAAAATGATTTTTTTATTCCTCCTGAAAGCGTTAAGCGAAATAAATTGATCGGTCGTGGCGCTTTCGGGTTCGTATTCAAAGCAACAATTTGTCAGAAGGTTTTGACTTTTATTCGCTGTTTATCTATTTATTTTTTTAATCTTATTACTTCATCATCGGCGATTGTTCGTCATGTCTTTTAAAGTGGAGTTTTTTGAGGATCGAAGCGTGGAGGATGCTGCTTTGAAAATGCTGGAACCTGTAGAACCAGGAATTGGTGCAAGATCGTCATCTATAGCAGCTTTTAAGGTTTTGGTCGAATAATGTTCAGCTTTTAAAATAGCATTTTGGAAGTTTTGCATAGTTTTTTAGGATTTGAATAGCTGAAACCTACCACTTCTTTCAAATAAACACAACTTTAAAACTTATGCATGATTTCTTCACTTGCTAAATGTTTAGCTGTTCGCTTCTATTTATTTGAGAAGACGTTCTGAATTTTAGGGATCAGGGCAACGATAAAAACTATTATATTGAAGTCCAATTTGGTTTCTTCCAGTAACCTCATTTTCAGGCAGCAGAAACAAAATGGGAGCGCAGCCCTCTGCAAAGTGCTTGTTATGCTTACATTACCTGTCGACAAGAGCTTAGTGTTCTTTCTTCTCTGCGCCATCCGCATATCACAGCACTTTTAGGTGTTTGTATTCGCCCTTTAGCTTTGATAGTTGAGCTGGCTCCATTAGGAGCCTTAAGCCACCTGCTGAGTAATTATCGCAGGAGTGGTGCCAGGCTTCACCTTAGTGTTATTCAGGACACAGCCAATCAGGTTAGTAGACTTGGTTGTTTGCTTATAGAAAATTGGTTTTTATTTTGTTAAACTTTTTAGGTAGCAAGAGCTTTGGAGTATTTGCACGAACATCATATCATTTACCGAGATTTGAAGTGCGAGAATGTGTTAAGCTGGAGATTTCCACCTCCGTTTAGTGCACTAACAGAAGTCATTGTCAAACTGGGAGATTATGGAATATCTAGAAGTTCGTTTCCGTCAGGAGATGCAAAAGGCTTTGGAGGCACTGAAGGTTTTATGGCGCCAGAAATTATGCGTTATAACGGGGAGCAAGAATATACAGAAAAGGTTTTTTCAGAGTTTATTGAGTAGCTAGAGAATATTTCTGGAAGTAATTTTACTCTTCATCCTTCAGGTGGACTGTTTCTCATTCGCAATGTTTTTGTACGAGTTGATCAGTTTAAAGCTGCCCTTTGACGGACACGAACAGTTAAAGGACTATGTTCTAGAAGGTGGTAGACCGCAGCTGACTCCATCGGTAACGTTTTAATCTACTATCCAATTCTTTTTTTGCAGGTAATCATTATCAAAAATTAGCTGTTTTAACAATTTTTGCATAAAGATTTCAACTCGTAATCTTTTTGCGCTCGTTTTTGCCTACTTCATTGAATTCACGACTAATATTGCAGGAATTGTTGTATCCTTGCAATGTCTTAGACATGATGGTTGTTTGCTGGGCTGCAAAACCGTCTGACCGCCCCTCCGCTTCTCAGATTGTTTCAATGACTACCGCTCCAGAGTTTACACATCTTTTGGATGCAATTGCTTTGAACGATCCAAACTCATTTATTACATCTACTGTAGCTTTATCAAGTTTGTTAATATACCTCTTTAAAACCAGGAAAAAAATTTTTTTTAAATTTGTGTTTTAGTTTCTAAATTTTGCTTTTTAGTTGCCGACGAAAGTGAGGGCACGTCGATTACAGATGATAATTTAGAAAATGAAGTATGGTTAAGCAGGTCAGATGGTACTGTTACAGTACTGGGTTGCAATCAGTACGGTTGGCTTGATTCTAAGGTCTGCAACATAGAATATCTTTCTAATTGTTTTTTTGAAAGATTTAGTATAACATTTCTACTTTTTGGAAAATTTAGCGGACAAGTTAACCAGTTTTTTTGTGAGTAGA